CAGCAGTACGGCGCCAAACCCGTTGTCGCGCAGGTGAAGGCCATCCCGGAGGGCGGACTCGAACGTCGGGCGGTGGAAGTAGAGTGCAACGAGGAGCGGGATGAGGTTCATTGCATGAGTGACGACTTTGCTGGCGTCCTAGCCGCTTTGCATCATGAGCAGGAGTGCGCGGTTCGCCAAGACGGCCGCATTGCGTTGCCTTCGAAGGCGGAGATAGAAAGGGCCGCAGGCGGCACAAGTAGGGACCGTAGGCAAGGGCGAGGATGTCGAAGCGGGAGACGTCGAAAATGGCGGCGATGGGGCGTAGCTGAACGAGCCCCTCGGCGCCAAGCGACGGCGCGAGTTTGCGAAGACGACGGGCAGGGAGGGCCGTCGCCTCGCTCGCGCTGCCTTTGCTGTCAGTCTTCAGGGGCTACAGCGGGCGGAGGAGGTTGCAGACGACGGAGGAGGCTGCATCAGTATCGGCTTCGACAACAATCGCCCCGGCCTTGCTCCGCACGTAGAGCTTGATCGCGATGCGAATATGGGTCCGACGGTTGAGAATTCATTTGTGGAGCACGGCCAGAGCTTGTACCTCGCTCGTCCCCTATCTCCCAATAAGCGTGGATCAGGTGACTCGGGTGACGCGGAGCCCTCTGTGTCCACGTGTCTTGTTCCCACGCGCCGTAGTTGCATTGCCACGACCTTGTTCCGCTTCCGTTGGCTCCGCTTCCATCTTAGACGCTACTACGGTCATGACTTCGCTCATGATCGCGCCCGCACGACACTTCTATTCTTCTTTCCCGTTGCGAATCTGTGTCACAGTCATCCGGAACGGCCATCAAACCTTACTAGCTGCCTCGGTTCTACACATCGATACTACACATTGATACGCCGCCGACATCGCCATCACAGAACCTATCGTGCTGTCCACCATCCATATGCCCTTGCAGTCGAAGTACTAGTGCAAACTACGCCGTTCAATGATTATCTTTCCGCGCTGGTCGCCCAGGAGGAGACACCAGGCAATTCAATGACATATACATCCGTGGCTATGCTCCGCATTCAACGATGATGTACTTAACGTAACACGACGATCTCTATGAATGCAATGCTTCTTGGACGTGCTTTTAGCAACGAACATACCCAAACCAATCGGCGATGCCAAACCGAGTACGGTGACCAGCACGGCATATCCATTTGATTTTGGGCAGTTTTCGGGCGGTCTCGAGGTGTCAAGGTCTATTGGCTTGTTCGATTCTTTTCGCGGTCTACCAGATGAGGATAGCTCAAGAAAATGTCTTGAAATTCGCGAGAAAATGCCGCCAAAATGCGCCAAAAATGCGTGATATATTCATCTTCTGGTTGCCTCTACCACAGGCTGCACCCTGGGCACACACACTCTTTACAACCTGTGGACTCATCAACTTGCAGCATTTCTGGCAACATCTCTGCTCCCTAACACCTTTTATTGCTCAAACTACTTGGCCCCAACATGAGTCTGAAGATCAACATCATCTGGCCTCAGGATGCCTACAAGACCAAGCCTGACAAGAAGAATGATGCAGAAGAGTGTATCAGATGCTGGATTAGATGTAAATATGAGCATCTTGGGTATAGAGAGCTTTGGGTGGCAACTGGGTGAGTGTTTCTGTTCAATGTCAGATCTTTGAGCATATGTGATGGATTGGCTCCCCAGAACTGATCATTCAGGATCCAACCGCCTCCAGAAGATGAAGAGTCCCCACTTCACTGCCGAAATCACCGACTTCAAGTACCGCCGCGTTCACTACGAACATCGCGTTCACATTCCCTTCGTCTTGATTTGTCGAACGGTGTGTCGCTTCCGCGAACTCGTTAACGCGATGCTGACCGTATTACAGCGTCCCAGCTATTAGATATCATGTATTATTTCTCCAATCACCATTCCCCACCCCCGCGTCTCCTTTTCCGCTCGTTCCGCGCTCGCTACGTTGCGCGGTTACCGTATATCGAACACCGTCGTCAACTTTGTCAAAACGCACTCGTTTTTTCTTTGGATGCAAGGATACGAGTATACGCACTCTGCGCACCCTAACGAACGTCTTACATCTCACGAAAAACCTCAGGGATGTACTTGTATGTTGTGAATGCAATGTCGTACAAATTCGAACTCCGACGTCCGCGCCGCGCCGCGCCGCATGCCGGCGACTGATCCGCGCCATCGGCTTTGTCTGCCGACCGCTGATCCGCTAAGCCGGCTTCGTCTGCCGTTTTGTTTTTCGTTGTGGGGCAGTCGGACATGGCGCTTGGCGCCCTTTTACTTACTCACATATTGTAGCGCGCGCTCGCCGACAACGCCCATCACACCGAGGCGGGTGGCCTCGAGCCTAACTCGCTACTGTTGGGACCATTGTTCGATTGGGACGCTGCCACCGGCCTGCAGGCCGAGAGCACGCCGCACGACCATAAGGCGCGCGCGAGAAAGGTGGCGCAGGAAGCGGTCCCGCCGCTGCCCACTGCTTCAACCCGCCGGTCGAGCATCGTCTACGTCCGATCCGACGACCAGCCCGCTGTCGGTACGGAGCGTCCGCAGTCCAAGCGTTCGAGCATCGTTTACGTTAAATCGGGCGACGAGAACGCCCCTCCGGCGGAGGGCGCCAATGTGCAAAGGTCGACCTCCGGTCGCTTTGCGCAGTGGGGTGCCCGCGCCGTTCGCCCGCTCAAGCCGAAGGCGAACAAGGGTAAGGTGTCCCCGCCGCCGTCCGGGCAGTCATCGTCGCCTACCGGCCTTCGTCCGCTCTCGCTGCTCCAGGAGCGCAACACCAACATGTCGACGGAGAACGCGCACGGCGTCCGTCCTCTCACCCTCGGTCGCAAGAAGAAACTGCAAGAGGGTATGGACCCCGTTGCGGAGAACGCAGCGCTCGCGGAGGTTGGCAACACGAACGCTGGTCTGAAGCCTCTGAAGCTTGCCCGGTCGGAGACGGCGAAGAAGCGCGGGTTGCTGATGAACCGCGCGGGCGTCCCCGATGTGGTCGTCCGGCCCCCATCTGCCAGCGAGCACGTCGGCTTTGGCTACAGCTTCCGGTAAAGAAAAAAATAAGGGAAAACATCACACTCAGAAACCTACCCTTCGGGGGACGGCTCATCAAAGTCTGCTCTTTCAAAATTCGTACGCTGTCCTATGTTTTTTTTTTTGCTACGCTGTCTATGCTCTCTCATCTCCTCCCCGTCTCATCATGATCCTGAAACCGAATGTATCGTCAATCTGCTCTCCCCGACTCGTCTCCATGTCATATGCTGCTAGTCTATCGTCCATTACGCTTACTCCATTCTCGCTATGTTCTCACGACGTTGTCATTCACGCTTTCTTCACGCTGCTCTGACGCTTTACCTCCCTTCTTGACGGAGTTACTACGACGCGTTGACGCGTGCTTACTCTTATAGTCCTAACTTATTCGCATCGAACTTGCAGGTACTTCGGACTGCATATACCCCAACTTGCGCATCTTGGCCAGCGCGCGAAGCGCCTGAGCAAATAGAACATGTTCTGGTCCTAGCGACCTATCTCTATCACAACTTGGCCGCGACCGGTCTTTCTCCTAAAAGATTGACACTGTCGAGAAAGTCGAGCACGGTTTGCGTCACCGCATCTTTCGCTTCTATCATGATCCAGTGTCCACATCCCTCCACCGACACCTCCCGCAAAGATGGCACGAATTTGTGTGCCCGGGCGACGACGGGCCGTAAGCAGGTGGGATCCTCGGTGCCCCATATTAGCAGAGCTGGTAGCGAAGCGGGTAGGGTGGTTGGCAAGTTGGCCGCTGACACAGACCAAATTAATGAGCGCGCCACCTATCTCCAAACGTTGTCCATACCTTTCTCTTCCTCGAAGCGGAGTCTTGCAGTACGATAGTAGTTCAGTGGCCCCCTCATCGCCCCCTCAAAGAAGGGGCGGTAATATTGCGTTTCCTGCGTGCCGAGCGTTAGCTTCTCTGGCTGTCATCGTTCCTTGATATCAGGTGGACGAACCTGAGGGGTCAGCAGGAGGCCATCTGGTTCGAGTACGTCATCGAGGGCCATAGCTAATTTACGACTCCCGGGTGACAGTATCCCATGACCGCTGCCTGGCTTGCGATACACGCGGCTCCAAAACGCGAACAGCTATAACAACACCAGTGAGATGGCACGCGAGGATCACACCGTTAGTGCTCACATTGTCCTCTATTTCTTGCGTGGACGATGGGTCCGCAAAGTAGACTTGGTATGCAAAGTTTGAGTAACGTCGAGCCATCTCTTCCACGGATATGTACTCGGGAGCTGGAGGAGTGTACGGGACGGATAACCTGGCAACCCAAAAATTATTGCCATAGTGAAATCTTAGCTCACAACACTCACTGGATGAGTGCGATGATCCTATCCGGGTGCCAGAGAGCGAACCTCGAAACCGTGAAAGAACCTGCAACGACAACATGGTTAGCGTTGGATAGCGTGGTATCGAGAACGTGGGTGCACCCCAATCGTGCCCGATCATAACCTATACAACATGATCAATGACCTCGATGATGCAGAGCAAAGGAGAAAATAGGACTCACCGCTTTCCGTACGCCAATATGATCTAACAAAGCGACAAGGTCCTCGCACAAGCGCTTCGTCGTGTAAGCTCCGACATCGTATGGCTTGTCTGTAGTGCCGTAACCGAGCATGTCGGGAACGATTACGCGGTAACCGCGTTCCACCCAAGGGCGGATTTGATAGCGCCAGCCATACTGAGACGTCAGTTCATTAGTAGGAAACAGACCATCATAAGCACCCAAGTACCCAAAGATCGGGAAACCCATGCACGCAAACGAGCGTCACAATCGATGCATGGTCGTACGTTCGGGGGCAGCTGATCGACGTAGTGATATTGCCGACCGGTAGAGAGCAAGGTGGATTTATGCACGAAGCTCAGGGGATCAGATGGGTCCATTGCAAAGATCTAGGTGGATTGCATCTCTTGCGCTTGGTGGTATGGGTGCATGTTTGGAACCGCTAGAAAGTAGTATAAGCAAAGCCGGAACCGGCGAACCAGGTTACCAAAAAGCCGAGCATGTGAATGCAACGTAGGTTTCGCCTTGGCGTTCTTTTGCCTCCGGGGGCGATGCAGAGTAGAGCAGTCATATACGCTCCAGGGGTGCATTCGAACCTCAAACTGTTCATGTTTGCGTGAATATGCAAGACGATGCTCGGAGGACTTCACCGTATTATGTACCAAGGCAGAGACTTGGGCTGATCAAATTCGGATTCATAGTCTATTTTCGCACGCCCAACTTCACTGGGTCTCAAACTCTCGGACAGCTTTCTGCTGCATTACTTCTCAGTATTTGCCCTTGCACCTCATTCTTCCGTATTACAGGCTTCTGTAGAGACCTACGATGAGCTCGCATAACAATAAAGAAGAGGACGAAGTCCCCCAGGCACAACGGCCTCCGTCACCCCCGTTGCATACAACACCTGCTGCAAGGGGCGTACATGTACGCGTCCGCCAGATCCATGTACTTGGTACACCACTAAACTCGCGTTTACAACATGTCCATCCACTGGAGCGCGTGCGTGTCATCTCCGGAGTCCGTGGCCATGGCAACCGCGCCGGCGAGAGTGTACGGCCGAAGGTATGCATCACCGTATCGGATCCGGAGCGCGACCGACTCCAGAACGTTCTCATACTCATCCCGTGGAGGCAGCTTGTGACCGTCGCGCTTGGCCGCGTCCCAACCGTCGAGCTCCGCCGCGGACGGCGCTTGCCAGGGCACGAACGCGGGCCGCTGAGAGGTGGCGTCCCAAAGGAACTCGAGCGGTCTCCGCACGTTGAACCGGTCTAGGAGGAGCTCGGGTGCGCCGGGGAAGACACGAAGCAAGCAGCCGATGATCTCATTGCATGCGTCGATGGAGCCCTCCACGGCCAGGCGGATGGCAAACTGGACGGCGTCGAGGATCACTCGGTTCTGCTTCGAGGGTGGAGAGGTGGAAATCAGCCCGGCGAGTCGGTCGCCCGGAGACTCCGTCCTCGTCGTCTGCGGACCTGGGCTCTGTATCCAGAAGGGCGGTTCGTTGAAGGCTGAGACCGGCAACTGCCCCCGCAGATCGTCCGCGTATGGAAGAAGCAGAGCAATATTCCGCAAGGACTTCGGGGAATCGTCGGAAGTCCATATATGCACTGCGGAGGTATAAGATTGGCATGCCGGAACTCAAAGGCGGCAAGAACATACTGTCGCGTATGAACTCGTCCGACTCCCAATGGATTTGCGGGACTGCCACGATGATCCAAAGTGGGCGTATCAATAACTGCACAAGTCTACTGCAAACGATTCCACGTACAGCTTGACACCACGCCCACTGGTAAGTTCCCGGATGAAACCGTCCGACCGTCGAAAATTCCAAGGGAGGCCATGACTGCAGTTTGCAGGTCAGACATGGGTTATTTCAGCCGTGATTACAATCACCTTCGCGTGCACTACCGGATGTGACTATATCTCTCGGTTTCTCGCACTGTCAACCGCAACTCCTTCAGGAAAGGCAGTAACGCGTAACTTTCAATGGGGACTTACCAGTCGCTGCAGAAGCTTCTCGGTATCCCATTTCCCGATTATAGGGGGCACCTCCTGCAAGATGCAGAGGATCTCGTAGCTTGTTAGGTACGTCAATGCCAGAGAGCAAGCACGGCGCACGAAGACACGCGTACCTTGGCTGAGAGTCGAGATCTCGGTCAAGGAAACTGCCCACTTCAATAACATCGCTCCCCCCGCAGCTGCATTTGAGGTTGATGTCAGTTACGATGACATATGAGGGCGATCTTGGGGTCCTCTTTGAGAATGTTCAAGAAAGCACGAACGGTCGGGCTGAGCTCGTCACTAATCGCCCGCCACAGTCGTCAGCACACATGATGATTACGATGGGTTCATCAGGATGACTGACCTCGTAATTAACACGAACACATTCCGTCGCAACGCCATCGGTCGTGGTTGCGGTTCAGGGGAAGAAAGGGAGATCAGGTTTGGACTGGGACAGGGCTATATATGTGTACAGAGCAGTCTATGCAATCCAGGCTGGACCCCGAGTCCGCGAATCACGGACGCTGTAGAAGAAGCCGCCTCCCAGTCGCAACGCGCTGTTGTGACGGCGCTTCAGACCGTCGGCACGCGTCGTCATAAGAGTAAGAGAGTGCAAATGAGAGATAGATTGCATCGGCACCTGGTGGTGAGGTGGAGCCAGGGGACCGTTTCAACGGAAAGTCTGAGTCATCTCGCCACAGCTTCGATGACCGGCCAGCCGGAAGCGGCATCGCGTCGGCGCCGAACCTCCACTACCAGCCCGCGACAGCCTATGTTTATTCGCAGCGGTGCGCGAACATGGCTCTGGCACAGCACGGAGATGTCGGTCATCGTCCGTTCTTCGGTCTTACTTAGTTTGGTCAGTGTACGGTCAACGTGAATTGAACACGCGACTCGCCTGGACTTGAAATCTAGGGCCGGTTGAAACCTCAGTCGATATTTCAAGTATACATTTGTGTTAAAACCAATTCTGGATTTTTTACGCCCAATAAGTCTAGATTGTAGTCGATACGTCATGTGCGAGTTTGGGACATAATGGAGTTGGTATTTATAATCCCACATTGGGTTTATTCTTATGGTAACGTACATGACTCCGACGCGGTATAGACTACAAATTCAAGTTACAATCTAAGCTGTATTTGGTCCTTGGTCTCGAATATCTTACGGCAG